TGCATTGACTCCCAGAAAGCCTATAGGATGTAAATAATAATTTTCATAAACCATATCTATAATATTTCTTGATCCTCCCTACTTTTCCTTCTCCTTCCACTGTTACCATTGTGGTAAGCAGAATGGCCATGCACTATTTTCTAGACTCTGAAAATATGTTACATTACATGGCAAAAGGTGTAATTAAGTTTAAGGACCTTAAAACAGGAAGATTATCTTGGGTCATCTCAGTGGTCCCAAACGAGTTCCATGATCCCCTAAAAGGAGAGAACTTTATTGAGCTAGAGCGCAGAAGAGATGCAGCAGAAGGGGTCCTCAGAGAGATCAGAAGCACAAGAAATATTCAGTATGCTTAAACATGACGGGGGCCACGGGTCAAAGAAAACTGGGAGCTCAGTCCAACAAAAACAAGGAATTGAATTCTGCCATCCTGAATGAGTTCGGAAATGGAGTCTTCCCTGGAGCTTTCAAATAAAAATACCGCCTTGGTGGCACTCTGATTTTGGTCTAATGAGACACAGAGGGACCAGCCAAGCTCACCCAGGTTCCTGACAGAATAGTGAATTTGTTTTAAGTTGGAAAGTTTGTAGTAATTTCTTATGGCATCAATGGAAAACTAATATTCATTGATCAGGCCCTCATCATCTCTGCTCTAAACAAATAAAATTGTCTCTTCTTGAACTCTAGACCTCCTTATTGACAGAATCTTTCTAGCTCTGCTCATCATGGCCCTGTTGCAAATCCTGCAATAGCTCCGTATTGTCAACTCTATGGTTCTAACTACTTGGCCAGATGTTAAGTTACTTGTAACCTGGCTCTGACCTCTACTGCTAGTCTCATCTCCCACCATGTGTCAAATACTCTCTTTTCTGTTCATACATAAACTGCATTTCCGTATCTCTGAGTCTAATACTGCTCATGTCCGAAATGTCTAGGCCTATTCCAGCATCTTCACCATGTAAACATTATCCACAATTCAAGGCTCAGATCAGTTGTGATCTTGGCATCAGTATTAAAAGTGATCATTTCCATCCCCCAGCGAATTTAATAATGTACCCCAAGGAGTACATGGGTCTTTCGTTTTAGATCACTATATTTGAAACTGTATGAGATACAGAGAAGGATATATAAAATTAGAAAGACTCCAGCCAGGATATGGACAAATAAATAAATGATTATAGTTATTGTGTTACAATGAGAGTAAACATAAAGTAATGTGAGAGCTTAGAAATTATTGTAAGACGAAAAGGGCACACATTCTTGAGTGACCACAGGTCATAACAGCAGACCTGCACCTAAGCTCTGGCTCCAAAGCTCTTTCACCTATTCCGTCCCCACAGGTATCCTCTCTCTCATGAAGAAACGAAAACTCTTCTTTGGTTTTTATCTCCCCCAAGCTGCAATCTTATTTCTTTATTTAATTTTTTAATAAAAAACCCCAGAGTTTTTTTTATCTGTATTGCCGAACACAGTAGTCACTAGCAATATGTACCTTTTAAAATTTAAATTAATTTAATTAAAAGTGTTTTAAAAAATTAAAAATTCAATTACTCACTTACACTAGCCACATTTCAAGTGCTCCACAGCTGCCTGTGGCTAGCGCTACCACACTGTATTGGCAAGCAGGGGAGAGATCACTGCCGCCATTGCCACAGGTATTACTGGATGGTGCTGGTCTAGATGGTAACAGACTAACTGAGAGTGAATTGCCTCCAGATCCATACCGCCTGGATTAAAATCTCAACTACCTAACTAGCTGGGTAAACTTGGAGAAGTCAGTGCGCCTCTTTTTACTTTGGTTTCCTCATTGGTAAATGAGGATAACAGTAATTAATTCCTGCTTCATAACACTGCTGTGAATTCCATCACGTAATCCAATAGTTTAGAGATTAAATTTGAAGATTTCAGTTTTAAATATGGTTGGAGCTTGTGATTATAATTTTTTCCTTAAGAAAACATAAAAATCTTACATAAAATACACATATACAAACAGAGAATTTAGGAGCCCATTGAAAGTTTGGAGTCCAGTAATTGCAAAACAATCTCTGTTTGCTATTTTACAGGTAAATATAAGCTGGAAAATGTGAGCAATTCTGAATTCTACTGTCAATAGGCAAAGCTAGTAGGTGGAAAGGTAAAAATAATTGCACATTTTAAGAACGGTTAAAATTTGAGCCATTATAATGTTACTGAAAACGACAAAAAAAGAATATTTTGTTTCCTACTACACTATATATAGAAAGAAGCTATATGATATAATAGGGAACAAGATTACATTTCTTAAATCTGAAAACATCACGATGTTCTTGAAGATTAAAAACCTATAACTACTCGTACACAAAAACCAAGTCGATGTTGTTATTGAATTTCAATGTATGGTCAACCAATACATACTTTTTAAATAAAAATATTGTGAAGGGAAGATATATGGGATATTTATACTCAAACTATAAAGACATGAACTAGGTCATTCGAAATGTTGACCATTCTCTTCTTGAAGTCTTCTATACTCGTAGCTTCTGTGACGGTACTTCCTTAGTTTTTGTCCTTTCCTCATGATCAGCCTTCTTGGTCTCCTTCATAAGCTCAGGACTCATCCCTCTCCCCCCACTTTCATTCTTCCAATATCCATTAATAGCAGTACGACATCCACCCAGCGAGGCAAGCCAGATACATAAAAATCATCTTAGAATTCTCTCTCCTTTACCTCCCCATATCCAAAGAGTAACTAAATCGAATGGCTGACTACTACTGATAATTTTGCTCTGATAAATTTCTCTGAAACTTCCACCTCTCTCTAATTTTATTGCAGCTGACTTAATTCATATTCACCCAGGCTCTTATCTCTTATCTGAATTATTGTACTGCTTTGCTAATTTATTCCAAAATACTGTACCAGATGCTGACTTCAGTTTATTTCTTTATTGTAGCCCCACTAAAATATAAGCTCAAAGAAAAAAATCTCTTTTTTAGTTCATGTTTTCTTTAGGATAGTTCCTAGCATGTGATACATGCTTTAAAAATATTTGTTAGATAAATAAATAGCAGCTTGAATGTCCTAGAAATTATGTAAATTATGTCCTACAAATTATGCAAATGTGACCATGTCAATCCTCTACTGAAGACCTTTTAAAACTTCCAATAATCTGTAAATTAATATGATCTACAGGACTCTCCATGATCTGGTCTCACTTATCTAACAGCCTCATCTCTGGCTACATTCAATCCAACATTTTATGGTAAAATTATCTGTCATTCCTGTACATATCATGTCTCCATGTCTTTGTTCAATATAATTTTTTATGGTTTCTATCTGGAACACTTTTCAAATTGTCTTATACTGGTTAACAATCACACTCCTTTCAGGCCTTAAATCAGGTACACACAATTCCAGTTTTACCATCATCATATTACCTAAAAGCAATCTATTTAAGAATCTATCTTCTACCACATTACAAGCAACTCAACTTATAAATGATTTCTTATTCCTCTTTGTTCTCCATGTGCCTAGTACATAGTAAGTGCTCAATATTTTAAAAACCCTGTATGAATGTAGTTATTTAGTTTAACACCATATAGTCTGTTACTTATAGTCTTATTAATGTCTTTTAGGTTCTTATTTTTTTATATTAATAGACTTTATTTTTTAGAGCAGTTTTTGGTTTAGAGGTATTTATATTTTGGTTTAGAGGTATTTATATTTTTTAAAGAGAAAAGTGCAATAAATTAAGTTCTAACTGCCAAAGAAATATAAAAAAATAATTTCTAAAGGCCAACATTCATTGTATTAGCACAACACAGTTAATTATATATAAATATTAGCAATTAAAAATCATTTAAATATAAACTTTATGTTCATAAATTAAATTTCTATTTCTATATTAAAATGCATAGTAACATTTTGAAACACCAAATAAAAAATTCCTATAACAATCATTAAATAAAGGAGTTACAGGCAGGTTATAAGGAATACCATCAAATAACTATTTCAATATAATATTATTGCATAAGGCTCAAATTCCAAAATCACTGATGTAGTTTATAAAATCGAGATCAGGCGGGTCCAAGAAATAATGCAGGTTTCAATTCTTCTGTGTTGCACATTTAAATCTTGACTTTTGTGTACAAGAATCCTAGTATTTAAACATAAACAAGATGTAATCCATTTGCCTGTAATTTATTTGCTGTAAAAGAAACACCATATTATATGCTTTTGTTTGTTAAGTAGAAGATATACTATTATTTCCAAGATTCGAAGGATTTAGTGTTTAACTACCAACACCCATTTGAAAAAAGACATTGCTTTGACTCACAGATTTCTTAATTGCTAACAGTGGCTTTTCTGAGTAGGAGTGTTGTATCTAATTTATTTTCGCAGATGTGATTTCACAACTGAATTTTAAATTAGCAAAGCTTTGAGTATCTTCACCGTCAGCAGAAAATTCCTTCATCTTTGCTGCTGGAGAATATTGTTGCTTGAAGTTTAACCAGGGAAATAAAATGGCACTGAGAAAACTGATACTACTCTAAGTGCTGCTTACACACTGAAAATGAAGTTAGGTTTTCAGCAATAATAATATATAATTCACAAAAAATATGAGATGTCATCTTCGTCACCATAACTTGCTGGGAATGAGAATTAATTTGTCTGGTTCCAACTTGAGAAAGCTACAGAAAAGCAAACATCTCATAGATCAGAGTATCTTTACAAAGGATCAGCACAGTCAGGGGAACCAGAGCTTAACTTCTCCCTGAGGAAGAAAAACATTAAATGCCTTTCAAGAACAGTGCGCCAAGGTCTACTTTAAAGCAGTTCATTCATCACTGAAAAACAAAGTCACTGTTATATTTTCAGAGAAGTTGACTAGTTTAAGGTGCCCCTTCCCCTCTGAAACATGTCACCATCCACATATTACTGCAATAAAATGGGTAAGAGAAAAAGAATGTGTATTTTAATTACAACACAAAGATAAAGTTAAAAGTAACGTAAAAATGCCTACCCGTTTGGCTGAGCTGAGAAGCGCTGCGACTTTTCCGCGAGAGACCAACAATAGCTACCATTTTGGCCCCAATGCTAGAGCGCCGCTTTTGGCTGCTGGTGCCCAAGGCGCCCACCGCTGTGTCCGACTGGCTGCCGTCGTTCTTCTCCAGCGAACACATGTCTCCGCTGATGCTGGTGCTTTTAGTCATGTTCTTCCCTGAGATGCCCATTTGTCTGCTTTGCATTTTGGATGTAAAGACACTGTAGGCCGATGGATCATTAAAAATGAAGACAAGAGTAAAAAGGAAAAGACAGAAAAGGTATTTTAGATGAAACTTCTGAAATTTAATTAAATTATATCATTTACGGGACATATTTTTAGAATTAAAATGTATCAAATACCATGGTCTTGAATGGGCCTTACTATTCAGGAATGGGACAAACCTTAACACAACTATGGAAAATTAGACTTAGGATTTCATTTCTGGTGTCAAAGAAGACACTATTTTGCATGAAAAAAAATTCATGAAAAATCAGTGGGCTCATTTAAGAGTATGCTGTCTTACAAGTGCAAATAAGGCAGCTGTATAGCATACAGAAGAAGTTTCCAAAAGCATTCTTCTCCAGTGTGATTCACTATTGCCTTCAAAAAGAAATTAGGCAAGTGGGAAAATCCTGCAAAAAAATGGCAAAAATTACAGCATCCATTGCTGGGTGGCCTTCTAAAATAATTTTTTTTTTCACTTTACAAACAACTTAATAAGGTTTTTCTGATAGGTAAATTTCCTAACAGGGATTGATGTTTTCATTAGTTTTGAATGAAAAATAATTTATTTCATTTTATATGATTTCCTATTTATTGATACAAGTCTATATTTTAAAAAAAGATATTTTCCTCTTGCATTCATTTGACAGAAAGAAAGATCATTATCTGTTTTCTAGACAATGGTCAGAAAGCAATCAAGGAGTCAATGAAGCACGTGAGCTGCTTGATGATCTGCTTGAGTAACACTGTGAGTGGGAGTAACTGGAGAAAGGAGCCGGATTTTTCTATGATTATTGGCATGCGGTAGGAGGTTGAATAAGCTGCTATCTTGTTGTCCCCCAAAACCTGGATAAATGTGACAGAAGCTGCCTGATGAGCAAACATGGAAGACTCATTTATATAGCACCAATTTTTGACTCAGTGTTAGAAAGTCACAGTTTCTGCTTTAATTTGATTCTAGTAAATCAAACACATAGAAACACAATTAAAAATAAAACACATTAGATACATATTTATACTTCATATAAAAGATAATAAGAAAACTGACCCATTGAGGTAAGTGCTTATCTTTAATTCAATTTCCTGGTATTAGTAAAAAAAAATTTTTTTTCCTTTATCCTAGAGTAAAATCTGCTAAGAGGTTAGGACAACTTGTTCATTTTATTAATGTCTGCACATTTTCTTGAAGTATTTAAGAGGGGGAAGGCTCAGTGTGATATTCAAAAAATACAGTAAGTTATATTATTTTATCCTTTACACTAGTTTCAAGGAGGAATGAAAATAGGCAGAGAGAGAGAGAGAGAGAGCAATCTGAGAAAACAGTGCATATGCTTTTATAAACCTTAAAGTGGTCATTTTCAAGCACGATTTTGCTATTCAGGTTTTGGAGGCAAACAGACTAAGGCTTGAACCCCAAATTTGCTGCTGCTTAACTAACTTCCTCTAAAAGAGTTAACTGCTCTGCTCTGAGCCCCACATTCCTATATTTTATAAAATTAGAATATTTTATGTTCAAGAACAGAGAGAGTATATCTGAAGTAAAAATATAACAAATGGAAATTATAATAATTATTATCAGGGAATATGGACAATAGATTAAAAAAAAGGTTAAAGCCTCTCAACATGTATTATATAAATGCTTAACACCACTAATAAATATTTGGAATTATAAATTTATATTGAAATTTTTGAGGTTAAAATGTCTAAAATGGTTTTCATATAGCCAGCCAGCATTATATAATGGAGAGTAGTACATTAAGAGTCAGGAATTCTGGGTTTGTTCTTTGGCTTTGCTGACTGATCTTGGGAGAGTTGCTTCCAGTTCTGAAACTTAGTTTTCTTGTTTAATAAGTTTGAAAACACAAGTAAAGTGCTAAGCAGAATGCCAGACACATAAGAGCTCCAAAAATTCTCTTCCTCCTTTTTCATTATCACCACCACCACCATCATCCAATAAGCATCTATTAAACATCTTGAACTGAAATATCTATAAGGTCCCATTTAACAAGTAAATATTTTGCTCCTGTACATATCTCTTGTTCCTGGGACGCAGAGCAAATAAACACCGAAATGCAATACAAGATTTTCATAGTAAGCTGCCATCAGAAAAGACATGACATAGCATAGACAAATCAAAGTTTGGTTGAGAGTAAGGCTTTGAAAATAATCACATATGTCTAGATAGTTACAGTAAACTAATGCTCCTGTTATGCAAGAATTCTTAGCCTAACATGTATTTTCTAAAAACTCTCCCCACCTAATCTATTATCTACCAAGGAAGTCAAAGATATCCTCACATAATGTGGCTTATTGTACCTTGTGATTTTTGCATTTTAATTTTCATGGTTGCATATAAAGGGCATCCTGCTTGGCCAAAATCAAGCAGGATGCAATAAAATACCAACTGGAAGTGAAAAATCAGTGTATAGGTTAGTACTTTTATTATTGTTCGGTTTTAAAGAAGTACACTTCTCGTCAACCTAGCATCTTGAATAATGCATTATCTACAAAAAAGGTTATTAAAATTTTTGTAAGATGATATTCTTTTCGTCTCCCTGAAACTTCAAAATCACCAGGGGATGAGTTAGTGGCCCTGGGGTGCTGTGTTGAGGGGACTGAGACGGGTGCGAGGCTATCACTATTCGTTTCCTTTATGTACCTCACTGGACGTCACCTAAAGCTACAAGCAAACAATGTTGCAAGCAACAACTATCAACCCAAAATTTTCAAGTATTGGGGCTCTTGATTTATGGAATATTTGTAATACAAACTCTGCAAACATGGTTGATCGCTTAGAATGCTCATTGTGGTTAAGAAAGCAAAGACCCATTACATTATCAATTACTTTAAAAAAGAGTATTTCTAATGGTCTGGTAATATATTGATAATAAATTTCTAATGCTGCTGGTGGTCTCAGAGATAGATTTCTGAAGGGCAGTTTGAAAATATTCATCAAAAGCCTTTAAAAAAGCCTACCTTTTAACCTATCAATTCCACTTTTAAGATTTATCCTGAGGAAAAACTTAGCTATATGTACAGATCTAGCAAGAATGATATTTATTGAGGATTACAATAACAAAACACACACACACACACACACACACACGGGAAAACCCCACAAATGTGTAACAGTTGAATGTATGTATGTATGTGAAGGATGTATGAATAAGTTATGTTCATCAGTGAAAAGGAATGTACCGTTTAAAATGCTGTTGTAAATAAATATTTATTGATATAAAATATGTTCTTGATATGAGAATAGGGAGAGAGGAAGCAAATGTTCGTATCTGCAGCTTAGTTTTGGCTGTCACATATACCAAATAGAGATTTACCCTAATGCTAGGGGACACAGACAAATTCAAATGCCAGAGGCTTTTCAGTGGCACAAATAGGAAAAAAAAAAGAAATTTATATTAAAAAAAATAAAGAAACATCTCTTGCTAAACTAAGTAGTTCAAGAAACCCAGATTAATGAGATGATCTACCAGTCACCTACATGAGAGAGAAATAAAGGGAATAATGAAGAAAAGTAACTTGTCAGTTGAGAAAGTGGGAAGCATATAAATACACATAGCAAAAGATCTAGAAGGATACACTGTGAACAATGTCCTAAAAGTAGTCTTATTTTTCTCTGGTTGGTAATTATGCTTTCAAAATATGTTATTTTTTTCTATTTTGTTTTTCCCAAAATGAACACAAAAGGTATTGGCAATAAGAAAAAACTATAAAAAAAATAGACAAATGAAACAAATATAAAGAGGAATCAAGGACCACCTTCCTTTTTCTTTCACATAGGCAAAACTATTCAACCCGCATAGTTCATTGCTCAGGCTAAAGATAAAGCATGGCTTTCAAGCTAATCATGAGAGTTTATTACACGATAGTATTGGGTGTTGACGTAGGATACTCAGTTTCAGGAAAAAACACGGTGTTTCTACATTTCTACATACTGTTTTATGAATGGTTTGTAACTTTTGCTTTAGGAAAAACAATGGAAAACTATATATTTACTATTCTCAGAGTAAAATATGTAAAATTGCCAATGCAAGTGATCTATTTTATGAGATACAGTTGTTGAAAGTTTTATCTTAGAAGATATTTAAAAAGTCTAGTATTGTCAATCATTAGGAAAAAGGGTAATAAAAGGTAAGTAAAATATTTGTAAATATTTCCCCAAAGACTTAAACAGCATAGCAAGGGTGTAGAAGTATGTGATTAAATTAAATGAAGGTTACAGGCCAAAATGTTATTTAATAGATTTGAATGTATAGAGCTAAGTGCTTGGCTGTTAAGATAAACAGAAAACACATGACAAAGACAAATTCTGAGTTTGTGAGAATATGGGGCATATTGAAAGCCGGGAAAGTGGTTAGAATTTACCCAAGTGATTTAGAACTGTGTGTTTAGAGATGCTTGGGGCCTAGCAACTAATACAATGGAGTATGGGAACTGCAGCCCAGGAACAGGAACTTAAGGATGGAAAGGAGACAGATAATTTTAGGAGTGGAAGCATTTATAATACCTTGGGCTAGGAAGTGGTGCTAAAGAGGGTTTATAAGGCTCAAAAGTTAGTAGGTAATGGTAATAATGGCAGAGTAGAAAAAATCCCAACGAAATTGGGCAAGCTCACCAAAGTTATAGAAGTTTGAAAGGCTTCATTCCTTTTTCCTTCCCTCTGCTGGTTCCTGGAAGCAGGTGCCAAGAGCTAACCCAGTACCTCTCATTCTAGTTACTCTTACATGCTTGTACCAGTTGCCAGTCATTGAGCAGATGTCTGTATTATTAAGTACCATTTCTTGAATTCTGACATGTTCTGCTCCGTGTGTGTGTGTGTGTGTGTGTGTGTGTGTAAGAAACCCTGCTACTGTCTAAAGTTCCCCCAATTAAAACATTTCTTTATATTAATTACTCTTCCTAAAATGTGGAATTTAAAATTGTTGTTATCTTAATTTATGATTTAATAAGCTTTATTTCACTTACTCAAATGCCCATCTAC